AAGGCCGCCAAATCCCTCTCCCTGTATAGTCAGCTGTGGTTCTCCACCGCCTGCTCCTCTCCAACAAATGGACTTCAACTATACCCTGGAGTATGACAGTACCCAAGGATTATTTGATATTTCATCTCCACCAGGACAACAAAGAGAAGGCCCTTCCCATTCTCCTTTTTACTCACAGGACACAAGAGAAGAATTGCAGATCCTTGCAGCTCCTACTGAACAGCAGCCAGGCCATCACCTTCCCAGGGAATATTTGATCCCATATTGTTTCTGAAGGGGCAGCCTGGCAGACCAAACAACAGCCCTGCCAATGATCACCCCAACCCTCTGCAGGGAAAAGAGCTAAAATATCTGGCATTGGAAACAGAAGTGGAGGAGAGATGACCTGTTGTCTGTGATGGAGGAAAATTTGGAGTAGAGGCAAAGCAGAGTGTCTCTGTCCCAGCAAAACATCCCCAGAAACATCACACCACGGACAACCCAACTGTCTGCAGAAATAGGTGACAGCAGAAGGAGAGGATCCAGTGAGAGGAGGATGGAAACCAGGAGGCAAGAAAGAAACGTGAGGGAGAAGGCAAGGAGAAGAGGGCTAGCAAACAGCCAAGGATAGGAGACGTCAGATGGGAGTGTTTCACGAGGCCAGTGCATGCTGCAAGCAGCCAGGCTGGCAGCACAGACACACAACAGCCCCCGTGCTCTGCTCCCCGTGACCAGCCATCACCATACCTCCAAAGTCAGGCCTGAGGCGGACGTCATAGCCCTTCAGCAGTTTGTCCACAATCTCTTTCACCACAGAAATATTCCCAGTGGATGGGCTGAAAGACAAAAGAAGACAGTTCTCATCATCCCATGTGCTACTGGCTGTGCCGGGAGGGGTCCTGGCCAGGCAGCACTGCCGCAGCGTCCCTCGTGCCCCGTGGCACCTGTGTGTGCTACAGACACCCTGTCCACAGGCACAGCCTCCCTGTTTCCTTTATCACTCATATTTGCTGCCCCTGTTACAGGTCTTGGCCCCCGACCTGCACACAAGTGCCACAGGGCTGCCAGGGCTCCTAAGCCATGCTGGGGGTGGGACAGGAGTCTCAGCAGGTATTTTGGCTCCTTTTCTGCAGTTCACCCTGACTCCTGGGTACCCCAACCTCCATCCCCCCACACTCCCACCTGGTGTGTGCCTGCATCCCAGCAGTCCCGCCAGGCTGGTGCACCCTTCAACGTGCGCACCGCTCACTACATACACTCTCCACTCTCTCCTTGGCCACCAACCCGCACACTTGGGGTGCCTCACTGTGCCCTGCCCATAGATGGGTGCACACACACACACAGAGGCAGAAATTGTCCTTTCTGTTCCACCAAGTCTTGCATGGGGTGGCTGCAGCCTCTCTCTTGTGTGGGTCACTCCCTTTCTCTTGCCACACTGGGCACTTGCTTCTGGTCTCACACCGCACAGCACGGACTTATTGTGCCCTGAGGTCCCCACTACACAGGTTCCCCCCCCAGCAGGCACCCTGCACTGTCACACACCCCAGTGCAACCTCTGCTTCTCAGTGCACCCAGGTATTTCTTCATACTATTGAAGTAAAGGAGAAAACAATGGTCCTTTTGTCCTATGGCCCCAGCATATGGCTGATCTTTGGCATGTAAAAATTCATTTTCTGTCACTCAGCATCACCATGACTTCTTAGCAATGCAAATCAAGAGACAGAGACAGGGAAGGAGAGTCCATCTTTCCCTGTGTGTCAGAGCAGTGATCCTTTCCCTCCCGACCCTCTGACTTGCACACAGCAGGGGCAGCTGTCCTCCCTAACACTGATCCAGCTCCTCCAGCCATTTCAGCAAGAAGGGAGCTCCCTCTAAAAACAGACCAAAAGCCAAAGAAAAACTGAAGGTGGGAAACCAGAAAGCAGAGGATGCTAAAAATATTGAACCTATTCAGTGCTTTGGGGTATATAGGTTTTCTGCCTGAACACCCAGCCTCTGTGCCACCCTCATCCCTTGCTTTGCATGAGAATAGAGACCTTGTCAGTGACAACTGCTGCTCTTTGCAGTCACCCACCACAACAGCATGTCTTCCTGTCAACACCACCTCCCACATCCATTCAAGTCAAGCTGGAAAGCTGCACCATAGCACTACCTCTGCCAGCCTGCCCTGTGCCTCACTAGGCACCTGGGTTTGCGCTGAAATGTCCATGTGTCTACACACACACACACGCATGCACGCAAACTCCCTCCTGACTGTATGGAGTATGTACGGACTCCATGACTGTGCACACAGACACACAGATACATGAAAGCGCTGGAGCTCAAGGGTACAGCTGTGAAAAGTGCACAAACGTGTGCATGTGTATGACCACATCCAAGTCTGTGTGGAGGTGACTGTGGGTACAGATCTTACTCCATCAGGTAATGACAAAACACTGGACTGTTGACACAATTTGTGCAGGAGCACAGAAACAGGTATTTGTGGGTGCCTAAGACTGGGTTCCCAGATGCCCAGCCTCTCCATACAGGTGTGGGTGGAAGCATGTGGGACCACTGGGGAGTCTGGGCATGTGTTAAGGCTCTGGATACACAGGCTGTGTGTATGCAGGGATTTCTTAACTGAATAGGGATGTGCAAATGTGGGACAGCACACTTCTCAGGCCCAGCTTTGGTACATGGACAAACCGTTCAGCACTTGTGCTGGGGGCAGGGGGTGAAGTGTCTGAGCTGCATGCCTGAGCATGCACCTTAGAGGGGTACAGCTCTCCATTGCATTGCTTTAATCACTGGAAAAAGGTCAGAGAGGTGCATATAGGTGGACATTTTCACAACACTGTGTCTAGGTGACGTGGTTTAGGCTTGCAAGGTCCACTTACACCTGTGGATTTCTATGCAAGTATGTGACATTTTGCAACATGTTTATGTGTATATGCTCACTGGGGATTGATAGTGTGCACCAGCGTTTGTTCATCTCTAGACAGTCATTCCTAGGTACATAGATTTCCATATTTGTAATAGAGACACCATGTATTTTTCAAGGGATTTAAACACTTCTGTTTAGCTTCACGCAGGACATCATAAACTCAGGAAGCAGTGTTACGTCCATAATACAGCCAAGGAAATTGAGGCAGAGACAGTAACCAATGTGTCAGGAGACCTGCAGAAAGAGGCAGAGTGGGAAGAGGGATACAAGGGTTTTTTCCTCCTCATCAGCTACAAGTTGGCCCAGTGAGGGCATAAACTGGCATCATGATTAAGGACAAGGTCTTTTGCGTCTCAGTGCTCCTTTTGATCCAAAAAGCCACGTCCCTCCTGCTGATGCCCAGCTGTGGGCGAGCATCTGCATTTAAGTGCTATTCTAGGCAAATGTGGGTCTCCATCCATTTAGGGAGCACATACATCTAGCCTGTGAACTGAATTTTTGAATACTGTGTCCCTGCCTCTGTGTGGGCGTGCATGTGTTTTCCACATACGCGTACACTTGCAACCAAACAGCTACATATATGCGCACTGTGCTGCTGGCTGGTATGTGTGGGAGTAGCTGAAGGCATGTGCACATGGGAGAGTGTTTTGTCTCCAAGGTGTGCACAGATACACACGCAGACTATAGGTGAATACCAGTCCTGGACATAAGCAGATATAAACACACACGCAAGGACACATCGGAGCAAAGGCTTTTGATACGGGCATTTATCTTTACACGTGTGCTTGGACATTGCCTCTAAGCAAGCCTGTGTATGTGTCCATACACGGTGGAACCATGCATGAATGGTGTGGGTAAGGTGGGCATGAATCTGCGCATGTGCATGTTTATAACTATGGGAACATAAATCTTTGTATATACTGACCTGCAAGCCTGTGCGGGGACCTGAATGTGTGCGTTGGAAATGCACTGCTCAGTGTGCATGGCTGAGCAAGAAAATGCCACAGCTCCTTCCCCAGCAGACTTCATGGACACCGTCAGCACAGAGGTACAAACCCACCTGCCCACATATGTGAGAAGGGAGGATGAGGAGAAGTAGGCAGCACTACTCCTGTGTGTGAAGGCAGTGGATAAACACCTGTGTCGGAGCAAACAGGTGTGCTCTGTACACCTTGTCCAGGCTGGATGGGTGCCTGCATTTCTGGTTGCTTAAACCACTCAGAGTGCTCAACGCATATTACCAGGAGTAGCTGCAGCTTGAGTATGCAGGGTATTCGTGCAAACATTTACATGGCTCCATGCAGAGCAGGTAAAGCGTGCTGTGCTCTGTAGGTGTGTTGTGATACACACGTATGTGCACCCAAACGGGCATGGATGAATGCGCACATGCAGGGACATATCTGAACAGATTGCACCCACAGATGATTATGTTGCATGCCATAAATCTGCATGGAGGCACAGACAGAGGCATTGCCTCCTGTACACCGCAGAGCCAGGGCTTTGGTACAGCACACTTGGATGTGAGTGTGGCTGCATGTGTACTGTGTGTGTGCAGACACAGGCATGGCGAAGGCAGCCCTGTGCCAGGGTGCATGTGCACACAGCTCGGTGCCATGCACTCCATCGGCTCCTACAGACACCATGTTTCCCAGAAAAACGCTTCATTTTGCCATTTTCCCCCAGGTCGTGTACGGGGGGGGGGAGAAGGGGGGGGGGGACACACGACACGAACGACTCGCTGCAAGTGGGCTGCGAGGTGGGCTCCATCTGCAGAGCCTGCTCCACATCTCATGTATGAGCATCCCTCCTCCCCCTAAAATGACACTGACTGGGAAATAACAGCAGGCAGCAGGGGAAGCAATTTGGGGAAAGAACCCCCTCCCCTTTCCCACATACAGATCAATGGAGAAAACCCCAACAAAACAAACAAATCCTGTATCAGCCCCCCTTGTCCCTGCAGCCTGGGATGGCAATTCTTACCTTTGCGCACAGCAGGCGAGACAAAGAGCTGCTAAAGCAGAGACAATTCCACTCAATCTGTCTGCCTGAAATGTCCACATTTCCACAAAGACGAAGGATGAAAAAAAATCTTTGGAGGGGAGGGGAAAGAAGGATGGATCTTCTGAAATCCCTCTCCAAAAAAAGGGGGGGAGGGAAAAAGAAACCAACCCCCCCAGTTAATGATTTTCTAGAGAAAAAGAATAACACAAAACCCTAAAAAATGTGGGGGAAAAATATTCCCCCCCCCTTCAGTGCCAGTCAAAGAATTCGTTTCTTCTTCCTTTCAGCATCCTCTCAACAAGAGACATCCTCTGGCAATGGAGAAAATCCCAAGAGAAAGAAAAATAAAATGCCCCAAAATGGGCTCAGCAAAATGTGAGATTGAATCTCACAGGTATGCAGAAGATGGAGAAGAAGAAAAAGAAAAAAAAAAAAAAAGAAGAAAAAAAGAACTCAGTGTCCCCTGAGCACTCCACTTGGATTATTTTTCCTCCTGCTCTTCTGCCATCCGATTCTGCAGATGTTGCATGGCTCCTGCTACCCACCTTCAGAGAAGAGGAGGAGGAGAAAGAGGGTGTGCACGCGTGTGTGTGTGTGAGGGGGGAGGTGTGAGTTATCTAGCAATATGATTTTATTCTGGATTTTACCTACTTGCTCCCTCTTCCCTCTTTATTTTCCAAGGGGGAAGAGGAAGCAATCCAACTCCACTGTGCAGTTATTTTATTTTAGGAAAATCTCAGGCTCATCACTTAAAAGGTTTGGGGCTTTTCTAAAAGGGTTAAAAAAAGGAAAAACAAACGCAACCCAGTAAATAAATAAATACATATATGCATGTGTAGAGATAAATAAATCCCTGTCTGTGGAAAGAGCTGCTCTCTGAGGGAGGACTGGATGTCTCCCTAGTGCTGTTGCCGCAGCTCCTGTGGAGTTTTGCTGCTCATTGCAAAGTCACAAGAGGAGGGGAGGAGAGAGGGAGTTTGTGGATGGGGAGGGGGACTCTCCAGATGAATTGGGATCCTGACGTCATGGCTGACAACATTAACCCCTGCTGGCTTGCAGAGGGGATTTTTTTCCCTTTTTTTTCCCAGTGAGATGGGCGCAGGGGAGAGGATGGGAAAGGTGATGGCATTTTGGCAAGTGGGGGGATGCGCCTAGACAAGAGTGGCTCACCTGCAAACTCTGATGGGTGCTGTGGTTTCCTGAAATAGTGTGATCAGCAAAGGCTGAGCTGTTTCCTTCAGAGATAAAAAAGAAGGTGATTTCCTGAGACTCTCTCCATGCTATGGGGCAGAGTGACCTGGTGGCCTCCTCCTGGTGCACTGGGGAAGATCTGAAGCCTCTGGTGGGACTGGAGACTTTCCCAGGCCAGGGAATCCCAGCTCAGCTGGGAAGCTCAGCTTTCCCTGGATGATGCTGTGTTATGGATACAATATGGTTTGTGGGAAAAGGGAGCCTCAACTTCCAGAAATACTGCTGAGGATCAGCTTCTGGTACTGTGGCTTTGCCTGCTGAAATCATAACAGCCGTTGAAATCTTCACAGCCACAATCTCCTTTGCATCAGTTTCTGATCTTTATCTTAAAAAAGTAATATAATTAAGGAGCTCTACATCTCTGCATCAGGCATGCAGTAATGTATTACCATGGAGGATTTTTCCTAGGAAAAAGAAGAGATCCAGTAGCACTTTGAATGCAGAGCAGAAGCCATAGCTCAAGGAGGAAATGTTCTACCTCTCACACCAGGACCATCCCAGATTCTGATTCCTCTGTAGCTGCCTGGCAGCTCAGAGCAGATCCTCTAAGCAGGTAAGTCTCCCTTCCCCTGGTGCTGGCTGACACCTGTGTGTAGATGGTCTCCAAAGCCCTCTGGGCCAAGAGGGCAGAGCAGATGTGTCACTGCAGCTGGACAGGATGAGGTCCAAAATGCCTCTGAAGAGGCATGGGGCAATGCACAGCGGCCACCAGGCAGCACCCTCGTCCTGCCCTTCCCTACAGGGAGATCTGCCCCAGCCCCGACTGGGCAAATCCTTGGCTCTGGGGTTCATAATGCTCCTTTTCTTCGTGCTTGGCATGGCTCTTTGTGGTTTCCTCATCAGAGGCACACCACAGATCATGTACTCCACATCTCCTTTTCCCAAAAAGGGAGATGGAGAGTGACCATTTTGAAGAGCTTCCCTGATGCAGGCCAAGCTGAGCTGTGGTGATGCAGAGACATTAAAACAAGGAAAATCTGGGTTGTGTGATGCACTGTCCTGGTGTCACAGCTCAGTCCATCTCCCCTGAAGCTCCTGTCACAGCATGGAGGTCCTGGGGCTAGCCAGCATGCAAGGCTTGTGGGGAAAAGGAGGACTCCAGGAAGGTTTTGCATCTACGATGAGGCTGTGCTAGAATGGGAGGGGAAAAAGTCTTCTGCTGCTGAGGTTGGTGGAAAATGATCTCTGCTTGGTTTAGAGCCCAGACCACCCCTGCTCCTCCAGACCTCCATGAGTTAAGCTCAGAGCAGTGATCTGCCACTGTGTTTTCTCTCAGGCCAAAGCAGATAAGTGGTACTTGTCACATGCCAGCAAATATGCCTTTGCATGCAGAGCCAGGGGCTGGGATGCAGCACGCTACCCACAGGCTTTCACTGCAGACCATTCACCGTGGCCTCCCACAGATGCAGGGACTCAACCATGACATCCAGCTGTAGCTGGTGCTATTCAGCTGCATTGTAGCCCAAAGCAACTGCTGCCTGTCCGCCTAGGCTCTCAGCACTGGGCTGACTGCAGTGCCAAGGGTGTATGCCTTCAGGATGTGCCCTAGCTTCAACATGCCCTGGTGTCATGAGCAATACACGCTTTGTCAGCTCCCCCAGAAGCTTGTGGCTCCCTGATTCCTGTGGCTGAGAGGTTCACCTTTGCTAAAGGGCTATGGGGAGATGGGCCAAAGCAATAGGGTCTCCCTGTGTGCCTGTTGAAGAAGAGAAACCAGCCCAGCAGATCTGGGCTGTGCTTGGCTCAATCCCAACTTGAAAAGCAGCTGGTCCCACCATTTCCATAACGCAGTTTGTCTCCTGTGTGGTCACTTGTGCCTCACCCGGTGTGCCTGGCTCCGCAGTGCAGGGCACAGCCAGCCACGGCACAGATATGCCAGGGTCCTGTGAGATCTCCCCATATGCGCATATATCACCGGAAGCCCTAAGCCTGGGATGAGCTGCCCCAGTACCTCTCTGGCGCCAGCTATTGTACAGGTTCGGTATTTACCTCATCTGCTGCTGCCAGCACACAGGTCTCCCAGCAGCAGTGTGTTTCTGAAGCACTTATTCTGAATTAAGCTGCTGGGTACCAGGGAGGAGCTCTTGGGGAGATGAGAACCAGTTGCCTCTGCCAAGGCTCTGGGCACCAGAGGCCACATTCAGCCCCTCCTGGGCCCTTTCTCTCCTCCCTTTTCTGGCCCCTTAGCATTGCTCTCTCTCACCAGCTATGATTGCATATTACTGGCAAAAAGGTAAGTGGAAAGCAAATGTCAGAGGTATACATGAAGAGGGAAAATTATGCTCACAAATGGTGACATTTGTGCTTGCAAGTTCACCCAGCCGGGAGCAGAAACCGTGTCACATGAATTATCTGGCCACTCAGCCACAACGGGAAACTTTGGAAAGCCGATTGCTTAGCAGTGAATGCATTCAAAGAAGCTGTTGTGTGCTCTTGAATAATCTACCTGAAGCCATGTTCATGAATAAAGGACTGCTTTGGAATTAGTCACCCATTTCTGCTGAGCTTCTTTAAGGCTGATGCATATTGATACGTGATGATGCTCACTGAGGTGATTGTTTCTTGCCCTCTGGAAGATGGGCATCCTTGAACCCCTCCCAGAATCCCAAATGCTGGGTCTCCATCCCCTGCTGGGTGGCTGCCTGCTCTCCACTGTAAGCCTAGCAATGTTTTTTTTCTAAAGTTCATATTCTGAGTCTGAAAAAAGCTGTGAGAGGCTGCTGGAGATGACATGCCATGGCTGTAATAACCCTGAAGAGGCCATGGAGGACTGCGTTTGTGGCCATTTGCTGTCCTCCGCTATTAAATCACTCATTTTCACTCCTCTCTCACCTGTTGCTCTGCTGCAAACTCCACACCCTGACCTCCCTTCTTATCCTGTGGCCACCGCTGACTCCAAGTTGCAGTCAGTGTGACAGTGTTGTGCCAAAAGCCTCTACGGATCATGGCTTATGGTCTACAGCCACCTTAAGCCTTTTTTTCCTTTTGTCCCCTTTTTCTTGTTTTTTCTTTTTTTTTTTTTCTCCACAATGTCTAACAGCTGAGCATTTGCTGGGTCTTCGTCTATGTGCTACCTCCATCTTTGGGTTCAGGGCATGGGAGAGAAGGATCAGTGCTGTCCTGAGGGGTTTGCATGAGTGAAGCAGTGAATCATATTGTCTCTACCTTTTAGCAAAAACAGGGAAAGAGAGGGAGGCTGGGCTTTGCCAGCACCAAGGTATGCTTAAGACCTCCTCTACAAGCATGCAGATTCATTCAGCAATGGATTCTGGGTAGATATTTCAGTGGAATGAATCCAACATTAGGAAATACCATAATTAGAACTAGCACTAGAGAGCATCCAAAATACAGGTCCACTAGTACCACTTAGCTGCATCACCTCCTGCCCTGAGGAGGTGTCATGTGTCCCTCTTGCAGCAGGAGGGAACAAGGAGCTCTTTCCTGTGCCATCACTATTATCACATAAGTGCTGCTATTCCCAAGGGCTTGCTGTCAAGGTGGAAACTCTTCCTGGTCCTCACTTCCCACTGGCAGGATGTCTGGCTCTTCTGTCAAGCCAACAGCTCCCAGCAGAAAATGGTTGTTCTTCTAAAGCAGAAAAAGGACAGGAGAGGAGAAAGAGAAAGAGAGAAGAAAGAGAGTAAAACAGGTGTTGGCAAGAGAAGACCACAAGTCGCCATCCCCATGTACTGGTGGGGCTGACAGCTACCAGCAACTGCTTGGACAGCTGGGACTGTCATTGCAGCAACTCTGTGTCCTCTAACTCACAAATCACTCCTAATGTATAAACCCAGGAGCCCCCCTGCTTGGACACACCATATGCTAGATGTTATATATTCCTGAGGAAATAACCCAAAGACACAGGGTTCCTCATCTCTGCTGAGCTAAAGATCCTTCATCCCTTTGCAAGATAGTGCAGACTTCTCCAGAGTAAGTGGTAAGAAGTTGACCGTTTTTAGGAACTGTGAATAGTTGAACTGGTGAGCAGAGCTTTGCATGCAGTTGTGTATCTATCTCATCTCCTCTGTGCTCAAATCTCTTTAACTGGATCACGGAAAGTGTGGAGGGAAGGGAGAAAAGATTGTCAGTGGAGATGGGTTCATGCATCAGCTTCCATTCCAGCCTGTCTTTTAGCTTATGAGGCTGCAGACACAGTCTAGTTTGGGCTTTCCTTCACTTGAAAAATGGTACAGCCAATGGTACAGTGAAGGCCCTTTGATTATAAGAGTGCAGAAGTGCTGTGATAACTGTGGTTGTTAAGAAGGTTTAGCTCCCACATTGTTGTGGTTTAACCCAAGCTGGTAACTAAGCACCATGCAGCTGCTCACTCACTCCTCCCCTTCCCC